TTCTAGTCTGCCCCACCTCCCAGGTTGAGAAGATTAATTTCATGGCAAAACCAACTAATTGGGAAATTCTGATCTAGGCTCATTTCTTACTTTAACATTCTTAAAATACAGTAGTTCCCCCTTATCCGTGTTTTCACTTTCTGCAGTTTCAGTTACTTACAGTCAACTGTAGTCCAAAAATATTCAATGGAAAAATTCCATTTAAGAAAAATTCATGTTTTAAATTGCATGCTATTCTGTGTAGTGTGACGAAATCTCACACCATCCTGCTCCATCCCACCCAGAACATGAGTCGTTCCTTTGTCCAGCATATTCATGCTGCATATACTACCCACCCTGTTAGTCACTTAGCAGCCATTTTAGTTACTAGTTCTACTGTCCCTGTATGACAGTGCTTATGCTCAGGTAATCCTTATTTTACTAAACAGTGCCCCCAAAGCGTCAGAATAGTGATGATGGGATTTTGGACATGCCAAAGAGAAACCATAAATTGCTTCCTTCAAGTGAAAAGGTGAAAATTCTCAACTTAACAAGGAAATAAGAAAATTGTATGCCAAAGTTACTAAGATTTATGGTAAGAATGAAGCTTCTATCCGTGAAATTGTGAAGGAAAAAGAAATTCACACATAGTTTATGTAGGGTTAGGTGCGATTCTGGTTTCAGGTATCTACTGGGGGTCTGAAATGTATCTTCTGAAGATAAGGGAGGGACTACTGTAACATCATATACCAAATTTTTACAATTATTGAACCCACATGTCCATCTCATCTCCACAATTGCTCCCATGTATTCTCTATCATCTCAACCATTCACTAGACTCCTCAATGAACTGACTTTATCTGACTAAAACATCAGATTGACTGAATCTTGATCTTATCATGAGGAATATTCCTCCACTTCGGAAAATCTCAAGTTTGGGGCTTCCTGATACCTTTTTCCAGTGTCCATCCTATCTAGCCTTCTTAATTATACCCCTCACTAACCAACCATCGCCTTTTTTTTCTTACTAGAAAGTGCCAGTAAAATGCATAGTTATTTGCTCCTCTTCATTCAATCAGTATCAGTTATGAATACCACCCACCAAATCGAGACTTGAATCCCTGAGGCTAAACTTTGCCATCTTCCTCAATTACACATTTACTCAGTTTATCTAATGGATCTACTCTTACAGTCTTTCCATTCGTTATTCCTTCCCACTCTCTCCATGCCTGATTTAGTTCTGCCCTTCTCCCAGGATTCTTTAGTAAACTTTAGAATGACACTGTGCCTTCTATCTTTTCTCCCTAAGTTACCAAATGTTTCTTTAGTTATTAGAATAGTTAATGCTTCCTTTCCATTCTAGAGTTTAAACTTGAAATGCTCATGAGTGGTTTATTTACCTTCCAGGATTAGGACTTAAAAGATAAATTGACTCAGTAACATAGGAACTTTTAAAAGACTGGCACTTTATAGTTTATTGGTTGCAACTGTAAAAACTTGTCACAGCCATGCCATGTTGTAATTAAGTTTCTGTTATTTTTGAAGTGCTACGAGAGGTTCTGAGTCATACATTGGATAATAAAATGTTAGAGAAAACATAAAACATTTATGTGCTTAGGTAAATACTGTATTTAGATGGAATATTCTTAGAAACTCTTCCAGCTAAAAAAAACAACTCTTCCTGCTAAGTAAGTTAATGTTTTGATCTCCCTAACACCCCTCACCCCTGACACCTGTACTCTTTCACTGGTTATGATAAAATAAAGCTTTTAATATGGTTTCCTTTGTGGTCAGTGTCTCATTACTTAGCCCTGTAGAGTTAATGAGGCCGAGGACATTGGTTTGATTTCCTAATGGACCAGTAACTTGTGATCATCTGTAGTCACAGACTGTCCTTCAAATCATGGTCAACCATTTCATAAATGTTAGTTATGAGGGAAACAGACAAGGGGAGTCAGAATGGCTCTGTAGCAATTCATTATAAAACAAGTTAAGGCACATGCTGTCTTGGAAGTGGCTCAGGAGTTTCATCTTCCCTTATATACAAATTACTCAGCAGTTATTTTATTTCCATAATTTGCTATGGATTACACCTCTATGACCCTCAGCAGTGTTAGTTTCTAAAGCATTCTATCTTTCTCTGGTCTTTGAGCTGGATGGCTTACTGAATTTACCAAGAGATAGTGTGTTGTGATGAAAATAACATGGTTTTTGGAATCAGACTTTTTGCTCTACTACCATCTCTGATCATTTGTGTGCCCTTGGTTAAATTTCAGAATCTTCAAGTTCCTATTTCTTCCTCTGAAAAAAAAATCTACTTTATATGGTTGTAAGAATTCGGTAGAATAATGTACATAGGGCACTAAGAATATAGTACTTGCATAATGAATGTCAAAGTTCTCAACTTGTTTTTTATGATACATAAATAAATCTAATCAATTGATTAGGAAAGTTTTCATATGGCTACCATGGATTTAATCCTTACTTGGTGCCAAGCATGATGTATAGTCTTTTATGTATATTATCTCTATTCCTCATGACAATCTCACAACGTTATTTACAATTATCATTTCCTTTGAGATGAGAAAACTGAGATAAATTGCTATCTGGAATGCATGGTTCTCACCTGAGCACAGTTCATAGTAAATTGGAGACATAGAGACATAGCACTATCTCTAGGGAAGTAGTTTTTAAGCATTGCGGTTTAATAATTACCTGGAGGTGAGGAGGGAGTGTTTGTTAAAAAGATTCCAAGGGCTCACCTGCAAGGATTCTGGGTCCAGAGGGGACCCAGGAAAATGCAACTTTAACAAGCTGTCCATGTCATTTTGATGCAATTGGTCCTTTCAAGGACACTTGGATAAAGATCAGTCTATGCAAGACACCTTAATTTGGTTAATTTAATCCATAGCCCAGGATTTAAACAGCAGTAGGAGGAAGAACTTCAGAGACAGGCTAGCAATTGTGGGGTAAAGTGGAATTTGCATAAGTAAGCAACAGTCTGCCCACTCTCAGCTCTTCCTCATCACCTCAAGAGGCTTATCCTCTGGTGATAACTCCATAGGCTATCTGCAGTTGATGTCTTTAAATTAATCTTTGTTGATCCAGGCTCAATTTAACTGTATCAACAGCAAACAGATGAGGAGGGGCAGAGTTGGGACTCCTACAGGTTACCTCGAGCCATGGCACAAGTTGTAATCACTTGCAACCTAAATTTTAATATCTATACATGGGATGGCATTCATTTTATAAAGTTATTGTAAGGACTAACGCACTGTATAGCACATGGTAGGTATTTGTAAATGGTAGCTATTGTTATTTTTATTTTTGTGTGAGATGTCAAACATGATAACCTATATTAGACTCTCTGAACCAGCTCTCACACTAGGAAACACTTTCCCCCAAAACCATCTTTTGGAAAAATGTGACGAAAGCTATGGACTGGTGCTGCCTGATGACAATATAATGTGAAGCACAATGTAATTTTATTTATTTATTTTTAAAAGACAGAGTCTTGCTTTGTCACCCAGGCTACAATATGAAGGCAGGATCACAGGTGACTGCAGCCTCAAACTTCTGGGCTCAGCAATATGGATAGCAGGAACCTGGGACTACAGGTGTATACCACAACGCCCAGTTAATTTTTTGAATTTTTTTGTAGAGATGAGTGTTGCTATGTTGCCCATGGTAATCTCAAACTGCTGGCCTCAAGCCATCCCTCTCACCTCAGCCTCCCAAAGTGCTGGGATTATAGGTGTGAGCCACTGCACCCTACTCACATTAAGCAATTTTAAATTATCTAGTAGCCACATTTTTAAAATGGTGAAATTAATTTTAATCATATATTATTATATATACTTTTTTGAGATGGAGGCTTGCTTTGTAGCCTTGGCTGGAGTGCAGTGGCTCCATCTCGGCTCACTGCAACCTCTGCCTCCCGGGTTCAAGTGATTCTCCTGTCTCAGCCTCCCAAGAAACTGCGATTACAAGCATGCGCCACCATGCCTGGCTAATTTTTGTATTTTTATTAAGAGTCAGGTTTCACCATGTTGGCCATGCTGGAATGGAACTCCTAACCTAAGGTCATCTGCCTGCCTCGGCCTCACAAAGTGCTGGGATTACAGGCATGAGCCACCGTGCCTGGCTATAATCACATTAGGTAAAATAAAAAATTCATGGTCTCAGTCACGGTATTGAACAGATTTCAACTGTTCAATAGCCACATGTGGCCAGTGGCTACCGTTAGGGAAAGAGCAGCTTTGGATCTTCACCTTTAGAATTCTGCTTGCACTTGTAGGGGGCAGGGGTTCACGGACCTCAGAAATTCATCCTTGCTTTATATGCCTTGTTAAGAATTGTCTTTTTCACATTTTATAAGCAGTGCAAGAGTCTAGTTGCTTTCCGTATGTTCACTGAATATTATTCACGTTTTCTTATGAATAAAATTCCTCAGGCATATCAAGCAACCGTGTAGGAGCTGGAAAGTGGACTATTGATTTGGACCTAGAAAAATAAACTGAACATACAGTGGTTGAATCACTTTTGGCCGCTGTTTTCTATCACTGTCTTCTGGTGTGATGGACAGGGTTAACTTCTATCTGTTAGGGTTACCTTCCTGGCAGGTAAACTTCTGGGTCTGCCCTTTTCAGGCATATAAAGCTCTTTCAAAAAACAAACCCAACCAACCAACCAACCAAAAAAAAAAAAAAAAAAAACCCAGGCAGTAACCGCTGAACTTGCATAGAGATTTATCCAGTCTCCTTCTATTTTTAGGCAGAGCAACTGCTTGCCAATTCAAATTTCTGGAGAGAGAAATGCACCCAGTACAAAACGGACGCGAGGAGAGTTAGACCTTTACCAGGTAGCGCTCAAAATCCGCTAAGACTACTCCCACCGAAACTCGGTAGTAGCGTGATTGTCTTTCCCCGGCTACTTGAGCCAGCCCCAGCAAGCCCGCGCGCCCAGCGTCTCGGCCGCAGCCTTCCCCGCCTCGGCGCGGCGTAGCTAGTACCGGCCCGGAGGCGTGGCCGGGGGCGGAGGGGCGTGCCCCGGGCCGGGGGCGGGGCGAGGGAAAGCCAGGAGGCGGAAGTTCCCGCGGGCGGTGGGGACTGAGCCCGCTCCGCGAGTCACTTGTCAGCCCTGGTCTAAGGCGGAGGCAGCGCCGCGCCGGACCCGAGGTGAGTGGCGGCCGGTCGGCGATGCGCCTCTTGCATCTCCGGGAGGGAGGAGGGAAAGAAGCGTCCGCCTTGCGCCGAACGCGAGGAGGGAAGCCGGGCTGCGGATGAGGAGGGGGCGCTCTTCGCGCCGGGTTGGCTCCTCAGGTGCTTTCTGGGCGGATCGGCCGAGGTGGGAGAGCAGCTTGGGGAGAAGTGCGCCCGGGAAAGGGCAGCGCAGGAGTCTGCGTGAGTCCCCTGCACTCACGAGCCCTGGAGTCCCAGCAGCCCGGGCCAACCGGGACCGGAGTAGTGGAGACCTGGAAGCGGGAGGACGCCCAGTGGCGAGGGCCGGCGCGGACGGGCTCCCGGGCACTGCGGCTCCCACCCGCCCGGCTGCCGGCGTCGCCAGGGCACCACCGTGGCGTCTGGGTGCCCCGTCCTGCGCCAGTCTCTTGGGTGAGGGTAGGAAGCGGGACTCAACGGAAAAGGCGCGTTAGTGTTTCTTTGCTCTCAGGCTACTGAGAAGCATTTATTTCTCTCCCATATATTTACAGTTTGTGTGACCTGTTTGGGGAAAACTTCTGCGGGTCCAGAAATTAAAGCTCATTTAAGAATCACATCTGTCACGAACACCAGATTTGCTAACACTTGAGTACTTGTTTGGGCTTTTCTAAGACCGTGCCTTCGGTGCGTTTGACAATAAGTGGAAAAAGGAAGGGCGTCTCGACAGGGCAGAGCTTGGAAAGAAAATTCGTGGCTGCGCTGGGCAGGGCAGGTCTAGGGTGTGATCTCCAGATCCTATCCCAAGTCCGCCTTTCCTGACGGGGAGGACGTCTGAACCCGCCTGCCACGGAAACAGCCGGCTCAGGAGCCTTATTTGGCAAACAAGGCTAGGCGTGAATCTCGCCTGGAAAACTGTCGGGTCGGCTGCTTTCATCCTGTGCCTGTGGCTTTGGTTCTTCAGCTTTACCTACGTTCTCTCCCCATTGCGGAGAAAGAGATTTTTAAGATATTTCTCTTTAATTTCAGGCCTTTTTTTTGTCATCTGTGAAGTTCATCTTGAGTTCTCTTCCCCCCACTGTCACCCACTAAAGAAGCTGAGACAAGTGTGGGAAATACTAAGCTTCCTTCCCTAGTATTGGAGCAAAGACATCGTTTAGACATTCCCCAAAAGAAAATCCAGAACTGTACAAAAATTCCGACTTTTTCCACGCGTTTGAAAGCAGAGTATGCTATTTCCTGCTTGCTTGGTATTTGAGGAAGGATTTGGGCACTAATAACCAGATGGAGGAGACTTGGAAAGGCCAATAAAAATATTGCCGTTGCTTGGGGCACAGACTGTTTTAAGGCAAATGAATTCCAAATGAAGCTAGCAGAAGCAGCATCTAGAAATGAATGGACAGTGACTTGAAATGAAATGACACTGGTTTTGTAGCGTGGCTGTGACCTTGCCAGTGCTAGGAATTTTGATAACAAATGAAAAGTTAGGAAGGGAATCCCCAAATAAAGGGAACATGGGTTGATAATCTAAATGAAATACATTTTCTCATAGGGAAGAATGGGGCCAGAGGAAGTTGAGCCTAACTTTTATATTCCACCAGACACAAGTTAAAGATTAATAAAGGAGGGTAGGCCGCCCGTGAAATATCAGTTGGCTTTACATGCTTCTGATTTGTATTGTGTCAATATCAGGACAGTCCCTCTATTCGTTTTCTGAAAATCTCCTTTTTTCAGCGGGAAAGCAATTGAATTATGTGTGGCTCATTATTAACTTCCCGCTAGTAGTTTTTCACCTATATATACAGTTTGACTTCTGGCTTGGCCTTTGGATCTTTTTTAGCGCTCTGTGCCTGTTACTTCAATACATAAGTAATGGGTTATTGCCTAGTAGTTCAGTATACTACCATGCCAGTAGAAGAGCCCTTTTGGTTTCTGATACAATTTTCTGTAATTTTTTATTTTCCCTGATTCAATTTTTCCTTAAAAACCAGGCCTATTTGAATGTTTTGCCCCATTTTCCCTTTATGAGAAGAAGGAATGTTTGATTTAAATATACCTATGGTTCAAATATCTACAGCTGCGACTATGAATTTGGGGTGATGGGGCAGGAATTTTGAATGGATTAAAAAGTATTTTAAAACAGGTAATATTGGGTGGTGATTTGGTTGAATAGCTTAGATTTTTCCAAAGAAGTATGTTTTTAAAATTATAAAATCACGTATGTTTTTAATTTTTTTTTTTTTTTTGAGACTGAGTTTCGCTCTTGTTACCCATGCTGGAGGGCAATGGCGCGATCTCTGCTCACTGCAACCTCCGCCTCCTGGGTTCAGGCAATTCTCCTGCCTCAACCTCCTGAGTAGCTGGGATTAGAGGTACACGCCACCATGCCCAGCTAATTTTTTGTATTTTTAGTAGAGATGGGGTTTCACCATGTTGACCAGGATGGTCTCGATCTGTTGACCTTGTGATCCACCCGCCTTGGCCTCCCAAAGTGCTGGGATTACAGGGTTAAGCCACCGCACCTGGCCTGTTTTTAATATTTTTTTAAAGAGAGAGAACTATTGTTTCTTAGTATTCCATTAAAAAAAAAAAAAAAAAAAAAACAGAAACAAAAAAACTCGGCCAGCGCGTTGGCTTATGCTTGTAATCCCAGCACTTTGGGAGGCTGAGGCAGGTGGATCACAAGGTCAAGAGGTCGATACTATCCTGGCCACCATGGTGAAACCCCATCTCTACTAAAAATACAAAAATTAGCTGGGCATGGTGGTGTGCCCCTGTAGTCCCAGCTACTCAGGAGGCTGAGGCAGGAGAATTGCTTGATCTCGGGAGGCGGAGGTTGCAATGAGCCGATATCACCCCACTGCACTCCAGCCTGAAAATAGAGTGAGACTCTGTCTAAAAAAAAACCAACAAAACAAAACAAACAAAACTCCATTCCTCTCTATCTCTCCTGCCACTATAACAGCCAATAGGAAACTCAAAATCAGACTTTTTTTTCTTTTTAAAAATTATATGAAGGTACTACTGTGAGAGTCATTACTTGCACACTTAAAGCAAAACAGACAAAAAGTATTGAAGTATTGGTACTTTTCTGAATTGCCAATTTCATTTGAATGCATTAAAGTTAACCCTGCACTTCTACCATATTTAGTGATAAACTTTTTCACTGAGTGGCAAATGCTTACTCTCTGCCTGGTGAGGTGTGTATATAAAACAAAAAGCATGTTGTGACTAACCTATCACTGTACTAGAGTATTGTCTATCGTTGACTATCTGAAGGAAAAATAGATATCACTTTAAGTGTGGAAAATACCATGTCCCTATAGGAGGAAATAGAAGTTGTAGTTGATGATTGGAGATAATAGTTTTATGCATTGAAAAACAGCTTCTCATTTTAAAGAATTAAGTATTTGGAAAGCACGAATGGGAGCTTACTGATTTGCAGGCTCTTTCACATGTCAGAGTAACTTAGAATTTAAGTGCAATTGAAAAACTCTTGCCAATGGCAGACAAAAGAATACGTGAAGTGGAGGGAAGGAGAAAATTATTTTGAATTCAATCTGAAATAAAATCTTGCTCTTTCTTATATACATGAGTGAAGTGTTTTGAAGTACATTGAGTTAAAATTTGTATCCAAGAAGCCACAAATTGGATTGTAGAAAGTTGTGAAATAGATTAAGTGTCTAGAAGTGTATTCTGATACGGAATTTTTAGACCATGGAAATTGCCATGAGTGTAGAAAATTTATATTAGCTGACAGATTGCCTTTTTTATTGAGATGGAGTTTCACTCTTGGCATCCAGGCTGGAGTGCAGTGGCTGAATCTCAGCTCACTGCAACCTCTATTTCCTGGTTTCAAGCTATTCTCCTGCCTCAGCCTCCTGAGTACGTAGGATTACAGATGCCTACTACCACGCCTGGTTAATTTGTGTATTTTTAATAGAAAATACAAAATTCACCACATTGGCCAGACTGGTCTTGAGCTCCTGACCTCAGGTGATCCGCCTCAGCTTCCCAAAGTACTGGGATTACAAGTGTGGGCCACCGCACCTGGCCACAGATTGCTTTTCTTAAACTGAAATTAATGAAGAACTTAATTTAGACTTATTCTCTATATCCTCTCATCCCCCAAAACAAAATGCTAAACATAATTTATGTAGTAGAGTTTGAAGTCAACATTTTTGCTGATCATCTAATTTTCTTTTACAGCATATTTCATTTTCTGTCATTGGACTTTGAACCATTAGAACCATGAGCAACTACAGCGTGTCACTGGTTGGCCCAGCTCCTTGGGGTTTCCGGCTGCAAGGCGGCAAGGATTTCAACATGCCTCTGACAATTTCTAGTGTAAGTAAACTTTACAGAAACAGATTTGATTATAGATAAAATCTTTCATCACCAGTAGGTTCTTAGTTCATTCAGTGCTTAGTCCCTGGGCTGAGTTGTTTAATTCTCTGTTGACCTATCCTTTACTTACTATCTTTGCTCCTGGGATTTGATCTTGGCAAATTTGGTTATCTAAAGGATGAGGAGAGTGGATTTAGCGAGTATAACTGATTTCAATTTAACTTCTTTTCTGTTTTCCCTTATGTTATCAATAATAAAATGGAAAAACCATTTAGGGACAGACTGTAAATTTTTGAACTGTTCCTAATTTGGGAAATTCTCTGAATCTTAGTTTTGTTATATATAATTTTAGAAGGTTGTGCTATGGGATTTTGATCCTGTCAGTTTCAAAAGCTGTTTATTAAAAACTGTTGATTAAAATGGAATAAAATGATGGTTTTGGAATTGTTTTCTCAGCTCACTTTCTGGTGGAGGTGATAGCCAGCAGTAAGATGGCCAAAAGCTAATTACCCTTGAAGAGGAAATGAAGGGCTTGGAGCTCCAACTAGATAGTTAGCCTATGAATAATTGAGATTTGGCTTTTTACCTCATTAAACATTTAGTTTGAATGTATTCTGTGTATATATTTTAAGGATATGTTTTCATGATGATAATGATGATAGCACTCATGAGAGGAGTAACTGCAGCTTCTATTTATTGAGGTTTAACTATATATAAGGTACTGTGTCACTTTCATCACCAGTAGGGAATTATTACTATTAATTACTTACATAAATTTCTAAAAGGTTCTTTTTGCATATTCAAATAAATGTGAATTTCCATTTCTCCTTTACTCAAATGGTAGCATATAATACACACAGCTTTATACTTTGCTTGTTTCTCAACAATTTACCCTGGAGAACATTGTCTATTAATATATAAGGAAGTTTTTCTTTTAAACAATTGTATAATTTTCTTTCATAGGGAAAGTGACATTTAACCAGTCCCCTTCTGAAGAGTAGTTGTGTCATTTCCATATTACTGTTACAAACAGTAGTGCAGTGAATACCAAATATAAATACATACTTACATATGTGAATATATATACCTGTGTCATTTTGAAAGGTTGTGCCAATTTACACTTTTGTGCAACACGTGAAAATAGTATCTTACCAACAAACTTTTGGATTTTTACCAAGTGCTGCGAATGTGTCATCTCATTTAATTCTCATATCAACCTGCAAAATAGTGGGATTATTCCCACTGTATATAACTGCTATGAGCTCACATGGCTTGTATGGAAGAGCTGACTTTCCAACAGTTATGCTATTCTGCCTCTTTAATAATTCACTTTACCTTATATTTAGTTACTTTGTTTCTTTAATCAGATATTTAGAAGATTGTCATTTCGGTTAATAATATACAGGTATATATACATATATATACACACACACACATATACATACTCGACATCTTATATGTATATCTAACTTTTGAAAGATTAAAAATAAGTTTATAACACCAAAATATCCTTATTAAAATATTGCAAATCCCATTTTACTAATGGAGTTTCCTTTGTTTCTTGGCTGTTGATTTTTTTAAAGTCATCTTTAATTTATCAATTTCTGCCTTAATTTCAGTTAGATTTTATAATTAGATTTATATTTAATCCAGCCTGCAAGTTTTAACACCTTTCATGGTTGGATGAAATTTTAAATGTAAAGCATCCATGTGAAGATGTGTCATGTGATTTATTCCTGTTTGAGGGAGTTGGTATTTTATTTCTTCTGCTGACAATCTATTATGAGAACAGGAACAATCCTTGAGTATTATTGGTTTTTATGTTTTGTTAGCACTTTATATTTTAAATTCTACTTTAATTATCTAAAGAAAGTTAGTATTTAGTTTAAATGCTTACTTTTTTGCTGAAAAAAGTTCAGAAACAGATTGACACCTAAATGAGCCAAACTTAAATTTCATTTTGTTGTGTGGTAATAGAAATGCAAATTGAGTATGTAGGTGAATTTTGTGGTACTGTGCCTTTAAAAAAGTTTCCTGTGCTTCACTTTCCTGGCAGACAGTTTGAGGTACTAGCTCCATGTTGTGATGCTGATACAACAGAACACTGTGTACATACATATGTGCCCTCCCCTGGCACCGAAGAAATGCTTTCCTTGTGTAGACAGAGTGCTAATTAAAGGATTTTGAACATACTGATTAAAAGAGACTATGGTAACAAAGCTGCTGAGTTATTTCTGTTCTCTTACAAAAGTCTCTGCCATCTACTGTGACCTTTTTGGGCCTTGTGCAGTGGGGCATGCAATTCATTCTGGACTGGAGAGGATTGGAAGGGGAGGGGGAGGAGAGAAGGGAATGTTGGCTCAATTGGGCTGCTAGGCTCTTGGCCTTTCATTGTAGTTATTTTTAACCCCTTGTGTGTTTTAAATATGCCTAGTAACATTGCCTCATAAAGGTTTGTGTTTAATAACTAATTTATATTGTGGTAAGATTGTTAATCATATAAATTTTTAACTTACTCTCATCCTAATTAGTTCTTTAGTTATACTTTTTCTGCCTTAATTATGTAAAATTACTGGGATATTACTAGTCATCAGGTTCTTTAATTTATGGTATCAAGAAACAATTAAAACCTGAAACCATGCTTAAAACATGTAATTTAATGATTCACTTACTTTAATAATGCATATGAAATTCCTAGCAAGGCCTGGCAGTCCTTCAATTATCTTTTACAATAATATCATAAACTTTAAAAAGAAAGAAAACTATTTAGAGATCTGAAACATTAAATATTTAACCCCCATAGTTGTAGGGAACATAGCAGTTATGGGATTTTTTGTTTGTTTGTTTGTTTTTTACTTATTGTCCACTGAAATTAAGAAAGGGAAAAAAAAAATCAGAAGTTTGTACTTAGCTGGCAATCTGCATCTTTAGAGTTCGAAATTATACAGTTTTTCCTCTGATTAGGTATTATTATGTAGAACTCCAAAGGGTCATTTACATTCCTTTATAACATTGGAGCTCTGGAGTACTGAATTGTATTTTGAGATAAGTAAGCCACTAGCAGGGACTTGAACATTTCCTTTTCTTTAGATTTTATTGTATCAGCATGTGAATATTCTGAATACAACTTGTATCCTAAAGCATACAAGCTGTAAAGGTTTAACACTGTACTAAAATTTCTTCATCATCTGTATTGTATGAATTTTGCTTACTGTTTTATGGGTGGATTTCTAAGCTAAGATTGGCAGTTCCTACCAGCTTTTTAAAAAGATCCTTAGGTTTCTGTAGCTGCATGATCACATGTCATTTAATTTCCGGCTACATAAGTTTGCAGGCTGTCTTTCTATGACCCTGTATTTATGGAATTGCCCTGAAGCCATGGAATGTGAGGATGGGTTTCATTGTAACACTGTGGGTTTGTTGGTTTTTGCTGGTATATTTTATAACAAGAAATAAGAGGCTTGTATAATTCAAGGCTAATATTTTGGCCAGTTGATATTCTTCATGATGGAATGATAAGAAAGATAATATATTTGTCAGTAACATCTTTTAAGTTGTTATATCCTAAAGTTGAAATACTCTGCTGTGTGTTACTTACTCATTATATTTGAGCTCTGTCAAATACTGTCAATATTTGGCTTACCTGAAGAGTATCTCCCAATTCTCTGTAAACATATTTTAGATATTTCTTTAAGAGATAAGAATTACGTGAACTTTTTAATATCTAAATAACAATGACTTTGATTCTCAAGAGTTGGGGGAGGATAAATTGTTATAAGCTTGGACAGAATTTTAATTGGATTTGAAAAGCAGAAGAAACTTACTATTGCTTGGATGATGGAGCCCTGTTTGGGAGTCTAACACAGAACTGAGAAAGACAAAATTGTGAAACACTTTGCTGTGAATTCATTGATTAGGTAGTTATAGTAATACTTCCTAGAAGCCATTGAAGAAGATACAAAGTGGGGAGTACAAATGTTGGATGGAAAAGAAATAAGCACAGTGCTATAGAACTACACCATGTCGTAAGACCTGTCATAAGACAATATTCTATGAAATGACAGATTCTGATAAGTGTTTCTTACTCAGTTTCTTTGGGTGTAAATCTTTTGTTGTGGGCGTTGGTTTCCTTCAGGAGAAGTTAATGGAACTGATCCTCCAAGGATGAAATTTAAACATCTCAAAAGTCAGCATTTTGGCCATGTTGTCCAATGCATCATGAAGACGAAGACTTTCTTGTCATTGCTTGACTCTAAGTAAAGCTGTGAATATAGTTGAGTGATTCTCCAGACCTGCCAGCTGCAGTTTCCCTCTTAGAGGAAGAAAGACTTTCAGTCTTCTCAGGTTGTAATGAGAGAGCTGTCCTACCTTGAATAAATGGGCCCATTGTTAATTTTAAGCTCTTGAGTATTTTCTTTTATATTCCCTCCCAGCTACCCTGTCATTATGCCAAGTTAGAAAATATTTAGTTTGTATAACTATTTGATGTATATTTCACGTGTATGTTCACTCTGCTTTAAAACCATTAATTACCCTTTGTGTGAGGTTCAGAGACCTGTCTTTTCCCATGTGGCAGTTTTATATCTTTTGTGGTCACAAATGTCAGGAATCTCAGTATAAATCCTGGAAAAATTTTTCTGCTCTATAATTTGTAAATAAATGAAAATCCTATATTTTTTAATTGAAAATTAGTAGTTTTAGGAAAAAAGGGGCTTGCTTATTTGATTTTAGTAAATATTGGGCATTTTAGAAAGTGGTTAAGAGAAATTTTACTGGTAAGCCGGACTTTTTGTATCTGATGGAGGAAACCGCTTGTAGGGTTTGGATAAAGTAAGAATAGTAGGCAGGGTGCAGTGACTCACACCTGTAATATCAGCATTTTGGGAGGACAAAGTGGGAGGATCACTTGATACCAAGATCACTTGATACAAGACCCTGTCTCAAAAAAAAAAAAAGATAAGACTAGCACTTTAGACTTTGGGAAAGAACATTTTCATATA